TATAAAAAAACGTAAAAAATACTACTGTAAAAGATGAAATTTTTCTTCCTTGTTCACTAGTTTTTACCCGCGATTTTGTTCGTGTGACCGAGATATATTATTTGACCGCGATAAAAAATAGTCTACGTCGTTCTTTGTTCATGCGAAATACTACATGTATATAAAATTTCATAATAACTAGTCAAACTGTTAAGTCGTTAAAAGGATAATATTTTGAGCGTATTTAGATTGGGGCTAGATGGGTTGCGCCTAACCCAAAATTGTCTGGTACCTATCCTAGGTTACGGATGAAGTTTTGCAGAGCCAGGGAGGCGCCTCTCGCCCTGGAGAATAACCATAAATATGTATATATAATATAGTATGTTAGTATATATAACGATTGGAAGTCACCTAGTGTGTTATTGTAATTGTTGTAAATAGCTTATAAAAACACTACAGTACTCTAACTTGAAGGACATGTAATCGACATATAGGTCTCTCTTTAAAAAAATTTCATTGGAGTAAAAAGGAATTTTTATTATTGATCTTACGGAAAAATTCTTTACAATGTGAACGTGATCCTAGGCTATCTAAGGATCCTACACCGTGCGGGTTTCTTTCTGCACATTGTAGAATTATGTAGAAAACAAAAATAAACTTATATTTAGATATAAGTTTATTTTTATTATAAAATAAATTTATACCTAATTAGTTAGGTATAAATTTATTTTTGTACTTCTTTTTTCTTTAAGTTTATAATTGTTTAAGTTATAATTGTTATTGACATGCGCCAAACAAATATTTTCTTTTTTTTATTATTAATTTATTAAGTTCGTCATTTATACAAATTTTATTGTGCAACAATAAATAAATATGACTTTTACGTGTTAGGACTAAAGTTCGATATAAATATATCTTATGCTATAAATGTACAGATAACTTTTCTTATTTGACTCAGGATCTCTGATTGCTTTACGACATTCATAAAAATATATGATCCGGTGCTATTTTTTCCATCAATTACCATTTAATCACTCTCAATCACTTTCACCCTCTGATTCTACTTGCACAACGATTTGAACTTGAAAGTTGATTGCACATAGAATATTTCTTAGAACGCCCATTTATATGGCGGTGACATTTTCTTGAAATTGATTTCAAATACCTATTATGGTTGTACTCAGATTAATTCAAATCTTCAGACATAACTTTAGTGTTTTGTTTATAAAAATAAAATTGTCTTAAATTATTACTTATTTACTAGCTGTATCCTGTAGCTCCGCATGAATCAGTATATAAAGTATTCTTTGTACTAAGTTAGGATATAGCCTACCCGTGTAGTCAATTTTATTCAAATCCGTTTAGTAGATTTTGTGTGAAAGTGTTACAAACATATATCAATCCATCCATCCATTGTTAGAAACTTTTGCATTTATTATTTTAATAGAATAGTATTTATTTATTTATTTGTTCATTAGTACGTGTATGTGTATAAAGCGAACCTAATACTAAAAGCATTCTCTCCCAGTCCACCTTAGGGAAGTGTCAGAATACTCAAATGTGGTACTAGTAAGTATTGATATACATACATATTAAAATTACATTATATATATATATATATATATATATATATATATATATATATATATATATATATATATAATATATAGTATATTATGAAATATATATATATATATATATATATATATATATATATATAAAAGATATATTGTACTATACATGAAAATGAGAATAATATATAGTATTTATAAAATAGAAATAAAATAGAACAGTATGCTTTGTCACTTTATAAAAATTAATATTTTAATCTTAACGTAAGTAACCTTTTTTTAATTCTAATAAGTTAAATTTTAATTCGACTCGTTTTTATTATTATGCGCCATCTAGATGTGGTCTGTTTTATTTTTATTGATCTTCCTTAATTACAACGACCCATAAATTTAAGGAATAATTTATATAATAGCATCTACAGAGATAAATACGATAATTTCCTTAATTTTATTACGTTAGGTAGTAAATAATCTAGTAGTAAATTTAATGATTATTTTAAATGCAAAAATTATTAGCATGTTTATTAGGTATTTTTAGATAACTGAATTCTTTAAGTGTTCAACAAAAAATTTGTATTTATCGGCAGTAAAAGTAAGATAGATATTTTAGCTAAAATATTAAAAACTATAATTATAGATTTAATTATTTAAGTGCATTGTAGAAGATTTTTGACTATTTTTCAACCATTACTAAAAAGAGAAAGGTCTAAATTCCTATTTTTTTTATTATAGGTTTCGCTATTACACATTCAATTTCGACCTGATTTTATTCACTTTTGCATTTATTTCGCGTATTTTTCTATATTAATTTTGTTACAATCGAAATAGCAACGTTGTTGGAGACAAATTGTTAAATTATTTCATAGAATAAACACTCACGTAACATCTCTAGTGTTGCAGGTATCCATAGACTTTACAATTAAACGGACTGTATGCTTGTTTGTTACCTTCGTGGTATAAAAAAAAAAATATATTTTAATACTTTATTAAAATCAAACATTATATTCTTCCAAAAAGAATGTTTTAATAAAACCAAATAAAAAGGTAATAAATAAATAAATAATTGAATTTAGTAACATAATGTTTTTTTTTTGTATCCAGTTAGCAATTAAATTTAATGTATTAAATGATTTTCTATTCATTTTGCTATTAGATTTAATAAAATTGTGTTTTTTGGATCTATTATTTGTTTGTTTACGTTTTCGTTAAATTCAATTAAATGAGACTATAAATAAATCATTCGTTTTATCTTGCGCACGCGCATGCGCATTCGTTGATGTCTTTGATATGCGCCGACAGTCTCAGCTTTGTATTTACATATACAGATACGTACGTACGTAATAAGTATGATAACTTATGGGATACAATTTGTTTACAATAATATCTTTAAGTTTATTTTATCATTATTATGTTATAACATAAATAAAGGTAGCAAACAATCTTACGGCGAGCCTGATGTTAACAACCAACGTAGTATTTAAGTGACTTGTAAATGGAAAGATTCTCAATTGTTATTCACAACTATGTTATCTATAAAATGAGTTTTTTTTTATCTGAAAAGATATACTTTCAGATTGATACAATAGAAATTTTATTAAAATCGGCTCAGTAGTCCACTGATGTTTTTCTTTGTATTGCTTTGCATTAGTTAGATTTTATTATTAAAACTAGCGGCCCGTCCCGGCGTCGCACGGGTAGACATTTTTACATTTTAAAAAGTGGCCATTAAGGCTGCACACGCGACGGAAGTTTAAAAATGGAGTAACTTCTCCCGTTTTCCCAACATTTCCCTTCACTGCTCTGCTCCTGTTGATCGTAGCGTGATGAAAAGTATAATATAACCTGTCCAGGAGTATGAAGAATTGTACTAAGTTAAGTTAAAATCCGTCTAGTAGTTTTTGTTTTTATAACGAAATTACAGACAGACAGACAAAAAATTTACTGATTGCATTTTTGGCATCAGTATCGATCGCCCCCTGATAGTTATTTTGGAAATATATTTCATGTACAGAATTGACGTCTCTAAAGATTTATTATAAGTATAGATTTAATATGTCTACAAGTCTTCTCGTCGTTTGGTAAGGTTCGAAATATATTTTGACATAGATTTTGTAATGATTGAATTGGTTGATTATTTTGCGGAACAAAATCCATTTGTGATTTACGTAAAAAAAAATTATTAAAATTTTTATAACTAGAAATTTTCTACAAGTATATACATAGTTATTATACAAGTTGAATGTTTGTTAGAAATACGGCGTTAAGAAGCACGATGCGGTTTTTACTCAAAGTACCGATGTATATTTGAATAGACATTATAAATATTTGTTCAGGAGCCGGCAGAGGGCGCAGTGTCTAGAAAGTGAACATTTGATTGCTCGTCAAAATGGTGCTAATGTTTTTAAGCGACTACGAATAGAAGATTATTGACTCCAGTCTGGAAATTTCAGTTTGTAATTTTTTTTGTATTTAGTCTTTTTCTCACAAAAAAAAAAAATTCAATTGTGGCAAAGGCAGATTTTGTTTTAAAAACTAAATATTCTATATGACCACTTTGTATGCATTTCTTTTCAGATAAAAAAATAATATTTCCAGATCGGTTTAAAACCGATGAGGTAACAAATAAAAAAAAATGGATTGAGGATCCGTTTCTTTTTGAAGTCTGTTGAAAATACTTGTAATTAAAGTTTGCTTATTCTTATTCTTAGCTGATCGTTTTTTAATAAGCTGATTGTTACTACTCTGGTAAGGTGGTTCGGTGAAGGGCTTTATTCGAAGTTTATCCCTCGTAGAGTAATATAATTTTTTTAAATCACTGTGGTGACAAACATGCATATGGCCTACCTGATGAGAAGCAATGATCGTAGCCTATGAATGCCTGTAATACCAGTGGTATTATGCGCGCGTTGAAAATTCTGAAGAAATCTTTAATCCCTTTTTTTTAAGACCCCCACGCTGTAGTCTCTTTGATAAACCTCGACAGGGAACTCATTTACACATTGATTCTTTCACATCTGAGGTGGTGATGAAAAAAGGAGTGGTGATGAAAATGGACCTAAGCAATAATAAAATTAATATGTATGAAGTGAAATAAGCACCCACTAACGTATATATATTATTATACGTATGTAGTCCGACTTATGTATGCATCATTATGTATGTATTTACATACCACCACGCAGAAACGTGGATATGCAAATATACTTAGTTCATTATCATGAAAATTCTAAGCGCAATTACGCCTCGTGGCGGGATTGTAATTTTAAATAATTTAAAATCTATTAACTTAGCGACTAATGTATTTTAAATTTCTTCCAACAACTCAGTTATGATTGCTTGCTTGCATATAGTCGGATCCACTTTTCCGTATTACAACTAGTATCGCAAAAGTGCAACAAAACTTACGCGATTTCGTTCCACTCCCGCGCCGGTGTAACTTTTCACCTGAGCCGGCTCAGAGGCTCAGTTGAGTCCGCGCATTTGTAACGCAAGCACGCGCCTCCCACGCAGTCGCGTACAGCTGATCAACACGCGTCGTGCAAGTGCTAGCAAACGCATCTGTGATAGTGACATGGTTCTGTGTATACATTGGATTCACTAATCGTATCATTAGAAAAGTAAGTGTTAACAATGTTCACAGTGTTAATAATTCAACAAACAAATATTTAAATTTAAAATTTGAAAATACATGTGCGTTCAATAATCATTTCACAATTACACACCGACCCAATAACGTCAACATAATTAAAAGATAAAACTCAATTAAAACAAGCGAGCGACATACACGCAAATCGATACACAGAAACCCAATTCTGTGCTGCAATTAATTCGCTATCTGCGTTAATGCGTTGCCAACATCGTGCACGTATTTAAATTATTTAGAAATCCAACTCGTCACTTGCAAAAAATGCACGAAATCGCCGGAGCGGCGCGACGCCGCCGGCGCCGGGGGATACGATGATATTTACACGCCATATGGGATGCGACTAGAAGCGGCGTAAGGTTGAATTAGATAAATTTCACGTGATACACAAGTATTTTGTAACTTCTGTAACTCTTACTACTTTGAAAATATAAGAAAACAAATAAAATCGACTATTCTTTTTTGTTTAAACCTTATGCGAAGTGGCATCAAAAGCACGGTGTTTCTAATTCGATTTTAATCATAATAAATTCTATACTGATAATAATGATTTTATTTCATGATCGATAGGGTTAAAAATCTCGTTGGTATCATATTAATTATGTCCCAAATGAAATAAAAAAAAATCGATGTAAGATTAACAAACATATCTGGAAGCGTGCACATACAAAAATTGACTTGATTTGACAAGCAATTTTTTTTTTAATAATTTGAAAACAATAAACGAGAAGTATTTTAATTGCTCGACTTACGGCTTATCTAGATAAGAGATATCTCCGCGAGTACGAGCCGCCGAGTATGTCAGTGGCTCGCATGTGTAGTGAGAGTTAGAATAGGTAGCAACGACCTGATACCCACCATCTCAAATTAGCACCCGTAAAAGAATTTATATTTATTATATATTTTTTTTTTACGTTTAAAATCATAAGCGTGAGACGTACATCTTGTGTGCTCGAATTATTTTATTTTATTGGGATAGGCCGCTTTACGAGTGAGGCAAACTTTTACTACGAGAAAAATGGTTTTCCATAAATTTGAATATTGGTGATTAGGTTATTTCACGTAGATTGTTTAAAAGATAAGGAACTTGTTATGACAGAAAGATGAGCGTGATATGAAATTTTATGGCATTCGTCGTCTTAATATATTTGTATAAATAAGTTTTTATAATTAATTCAAAATTTTTATAATTATAAATTAACTTCTTTGCGTAAGTGAATTTATTGCTATCAATAGACGAAACTGTAATATTATACAATATAAACTATTTATGTAAATTACGAATTGTAACTTATTTCATATTGATAATTTTTTATAATTTTTACCATGTGGTCCCGGCATAGAATGGACCACCCCTTTCGTTCCCATAGGTGTCGTAAGAGGCGACTAAGGGAACTTAAAGGTTGAGGGATGGATAGCAGTGTATCTTTTATAATATCACAAAAGAATGACTACGGTTGCCAACCCGCCTGCCAAGCATGGCAACTACTGGCAAAACCCCACTTTTGTGGGGTAGGCCTATGTTTAGCAGTGGATAGCTGATATGATGATGATTTTCCCTAAGCGTCAATTCACAATAGATAATCGTCGATAAACAGAAAGAGAATATTTAAAAATTAAAAAAAAAGCTTCACGTGATGAAGGTATATGTAGTACCTAAATACATACAGCAGCATCCCTTATTACTATACACAGCCATACGCACACAAGTAGACACCTCATTATTTCATCCACAATAAGATTTGACATCAATTACCTACACAACAGATCCTATAATGAATTAACGTAGACATGTTATTAATTAGAGGGAATTACCGTTAATATATTGCCGTGCAATTTTCTTATATTGGTCCTTCGAGCCGGACATTTGCTTCGGGGAGTGTTAACTTTCCTCCCTTTACGGTCTCTGATTACTGGTATAACCACATCAGCACTGGTTTCATTATTGATAGACATGCGAGCTATCGATTATACTATGAATCCTATGGCGTATAGTAATAAAGTGCAAATTTTAATAATATCACGCATACACTACTTAAGATTATTGTTAATTTGATTACGGTGATAAATCTTCGCTTAATGATTTGAGTAGGATGTCGATATTTGGTACCAATTAGTTTAGAAGAGTGATAATGACAAATGTTATGTATAAAAATTACTGAGTACAAAACAACTACAAGTAGATGATTTATAATCGTTAATTATTAAATAAATTGAAAGAAGGCGACGCTGTTAAATAATATTTATTGATTTTAATAATTATACCGATTTCAGCTTTAGTTTTTATTCATGTGACCTTAAAAAGTTTTGTATATATGTATATATAAAGACGTATATATAAAGTATGAAATCGTCGATTTTCGAACTCGTCTTTATCCAAGAAAAATGTTTAATCTCTATGTGAAGTTACAAATAATTTCAATTTCAATCTGTAATAGACAGAAAATTTAATTGTTGAAAAAAATGGACAACGTTTGTTTATTATCTACATAAATATGATTTACTCGTGTACCAAGTTACATTCAAATTCGTTCAATCGTTCGAGAGTAATTGAGAAACAGACATCTAGATATTCAAATTGCACATAACAGAGCCATGTGGTCCAGGTATAGAATAGGTCAGCCCTTCCTTTCCCGTGGGTTTCGTAAAAGGCGACTAAGGGAACTTATAGTGGAGGGATGGGCAGCAGCGTCCTTCTTAAAATATCATCAAAAGTCAAACTTTGGTTGCCAACCCTTCTACCAAGCGTGGCAATTACTGGCAAACCTTCTTTTATGAGAGAGGCTGTGTTCAGCACTAGACAGTTTTTTTTTATGGGTGTAAATGGTATGGTAACCCCGCCTGCGCTAACGGGATACGCTGGCGGAGCACCAGTGATGGGTGATCGATGAGAATGAAAACAGGCCAGTTAGCCCATCATGATAAATTCATCAGGAATTGACCATGATAGTTTCCAGGAAGAACCGCGGGGAGGTCGACCTGGTTAGGTATATTGCTAGCAATGGGATTCTCAGTCTCCATTACTAACAATCCCTTTCCCCCCAACAGTAGACAGTTAATGGCTGAATCAACAACAACAATATAACATAATTTTTCAATAATACAAAAATGAGTTTTCCAAATTGGAGTAAAAACTACCATTGATATTAGATTTTCTCTGTCTGTCCCGTAAAGGAAATGGGGTGATACATATGTTATATTATTATATTCACAATGTAATTGTAAATTAATAAAATTAGAAATATCTCACATGAAATGTAATTGTATTACAAGAATATTATTATTAGAGATTAATAAAAAGTGATTACTTTATATCATTAGGCTATTTTTTGCCTCCAAAAGTAGGTTTCCAGAGTTGGATGAGACAAGTAGCGAGTCTATTGATAAATGTTCTTTTTTGTTATCAAACAAGACGACAGTGAAGAATGTACGACAGAAATCCGAGTTCAATTAAACGCCCGAAGTGTTCATAGCGAGCTATTATACGTTAAGTGAAAGAAGTGCTCATTATTTTTTGAAAACTACCAGATGGTCGCGATGTAGTCTGCGTGGATGTTTTTTTAATGAACGACAAAGTATATTATTTAAAGAGGGGTGCTATAAGTTGACTTGTCTATGGTATCATGACTCCTAAACGAACAGACCGATTATGATGCGTTATTTCGTTTGAAAGCTGACATGATCAAAATGATTCTTTGGTAGAATTTATGAACATCTGTTCAGGTGTTTCGGGTGTTTCTTTCATTTTTTTTATTTGTTTATATGATACTTTGATAAACAGTCGATTTGATTGAAAGTGGTAACCGTCGTCTATAGACGTGAACAGCACTATGAGTTAAGGGTGGATATTGTATAGCAACATCTATATATATATATATATATATATATATATATATATATATATATAGATGTTGCTATATATATATATATATTGACTCAATAATAGATAAATTACCTATCGGTTATCAAATATATAATATTGAAAAGAAGAAGCCGCTCGCAATGAATATAGATATCGTACTGGTATGGGCGATATTGCAATGGGTGGTCCTCAGTATCCAGAAGAACTTAATATATAGATATCAGATATTATATCTATCTTTACCATAAAAATTACAGAATATACCGTGATACTCATGGTACTCGCCATGTGTTTCTATTTCTGAACACTTCGAAGTTAAGCCTTCGTGCCCCACAATTTTATTGTCTACACTTTAAATTAAAACACAGCTATGGAAACATAGCTGTTTAATAGAAATACGCACGGGACAAAGGTACCCAAGCACATGACGTTTGTACAAAGTCTCCCTCTGATAAAAATAATGGCAACCTCACCTGTGCTATCAATATATACTGGCGGAGAACCAATGAGGTGCGTTAGGCAATGATGAAAGCAGGTTAGTTGGATCATCATGATAAATTTACCAGGAATTAATTACTTAAATGGAATTAAGCCATCGTGTAGTCTCGGCATAGAATGGAACATCCCTTCCTTGTCCACGGGTATCGCTAGAGGCGACTAAGAGAACTTAATGATTGAGGGATGGGCAGAACCTCCTTAAACATCACCAAAGCCTAACTGCAGTTGTCAACCCGGTTATCAAGCGTGGTAGCTACTGGTAAAATCTCCCAATAGGGGAAAGCCTATATTCATCTGTGGACAGGTAATAGCTGACACGATGACGATGACGATGATAAAATGGAATTATTCACGATATCTTTCCGTGGGGATCGCGTGGAGATCAACCTGATATACATATATTGTTAGTAATACGGCCACCAGTCCTCGTTACCAACAGTCCCTCTTCAATTCAAGTCCAGTTTCATCATTCCATTATCATCTGTAAAAAAACCTTGTAGATACATATTCGTCATGTAGTGTTGTGTAACACGCAACGATTGCGCCATCCACGTCATTTCGCGTTACTCTTTTGTTTCCCGCAGATTTCATCAAAATCTCAACGAGTTTAACTA